ATACATGTATCTGGGAAACTATTGGGCTATTGCCGTGACCTTGGCCTAACAGTGACCTCAACGTAACATGAGAATAACCGCTCTGATAACTACAGTTAGGAAGATGTGTCGGCGACAAGAAATGGACAAATTAAAATTTCGAAATTTGGTAAACTCACGGACCGATATTGTCGTGACCTTGACATGACACTGACCTATCTGTGTCCTCAAACTGACATGAGTATGGGCACTGAGATACCTACTGATCGAGAGATGTGTGTTTCAAATAATGACCTTGAGAAATTTAAAAGCTTCTATTCTGAAAACCCAAAGACTGGTATTGTCGTGACTATGAAATGACGCTGACATGTGAGTGACCTCTAACCGTCATGAATATGGTCACTCACACACCTGCAGTTCGGCAGATATATGCGACTGAAAAAGTTACCTTCGAATGAAATTGAAAATTTTAATGTCCTGTATTCGGAAGTCCCCGTGACTTATATTGTTGCGACTACGACATAAGCTTGATATGTCTGCGACCTCAAATATACGTATGTCCACGAAGATTCATAAGGTTCGGCGGAATTAAGATTGAGAAATATTTGATTTAAGTTACATTTGAATTTTTAAATGTCTTCATTCAGCTATTCCTAGGGTTGATATATTCGTGAACGTTAAATGCACATAGACAGGCAGTATGGGTGATAACATAATGAGGGGACAATGTGAACAAGGCAATGGATAATGAAAATTAAGATGAAGTATTGTGAATTAGACTTCGTCTACTCCTCTTATATGGCGGGACAGCCCGAAGTCGAGTCCTGGCCTTATGAACTAGACTGCAGTGGTATAATCTTCGTACCAGATACCATAACAATCAGTTTATCTGTTCCTGAGTTCTGAAACCGTAGATATTAAGGTCACCAATATATTGCAGTATGACCCCTTCAGATGAAAGACACAAGTTTCTGTAAAAAATGCTGACTTACCCTCACAGGTTTAATTGTGTCATTTTTCTCATCTCCATTTTCTATTACCATAGTCAGACTCCATTTGCTATCTGTCTCATGGATTTGTTCTAATTTAAATTCAACTCCTGATGAATCTTTACTCCTGAAATACGAAAAATTAAAAGTTTTTAAAGACATCATATTGTACGTAATTTTACACATACTACAGCATCCGTTAAAAATTAATTGTGATTATTTTAATAATAATGAAAAATCTTATATGCAGTGGCGGCTCGTGAGTCTGAGCAGTGCTCGACGATGTTTTAATTATTTGTAAGTCCGGAAGAGGGCGGCCATGATTTTTTACATCACGTTTTTCACTGGTTTCGTGTCTACTAACATGCCCTTTGCTGGTACTTTACTGATATGATTCTAAATGTTATTTATATGGGGAACTCGAAGCCCGGAAAGATTGAATTTCCTCCAAATCTTGCTAACAGAGTTACACTTCAAGATATTCTGTAAATGATCATGGTAATGGGCTTACGTTGTTCCTGCAGTATGCATAGAGTTGAATGTCAGGCAGTACCCGACCTCTGTCAGTAGTGGCTTTAACACATCACAGCAGTTAATATCGGATCCCTTGAAGGTGCATGTGTGGATGAAATTTTCACATTTAATTACCCCCTGCAATGAAAGTTATGCACTTTACTCTTAGTGGTTACGTATTTGAACTGTCAAAGGCTTATTATGGTACTAATGTATTAATGTATCTGTCATAAATATATTTACAATATATTAAATGTCAATATATTGTTTTAAGAAAGTGAATTTGTATGTACCGTGTTTGTTGGCAGTCAGCTACAAACAGTAAATGTCTACGTTTGAGTATGGAAAGCTTCGTGCTGCTTAATTTAACACAAATTGTATTGAGATTAGTTTCTGTTTAAAAAATAATTATTATATTGTTGACACTAAAAATGGACAGGTTTGTTACAGGAATACATGGCAGTGAAACATTCGAAAATAATCTTAATATTAATTTTCGAATTTTGGTAAAAATGGAGTAGTGTAGGACAGCATGATGCAAGTTGCTTTTATGTTGTTGGTATCACTGTAATAAAGTACGAAAAATGGGACCGAGAAGTTTCTGTTAGTATGGTTGAATGTAAATACAAATTATGATTCGTTTATTTAATATTCTATTGTCATCCAAATAAGAACTTCTATTTTTTGTATCTATATTTCGTGTTTATCATTATTTGTATTAGTATCGTGCATTTCAATTACCATTTCTAGGATTTTATTATAATCTACTGTTGGTAAATTTGTACCCTTTTCATCTTGAAATATCAGGAACTGTTTGAGGTTATTATAAGAGATGTTTGCAATATTTGTAAAGAATTTATTATAAATGGCCTTCCTTTCATCAAGAGCGTCTGGCCAATTCCTGCAGAACAAACAGAAACAACATTAATATAATAAATTATTAATATAACAACAACAGTGGTTATAATTTATAACACAGGGTGAACACAAAAAATCTTTACACTTTCAAAATGAAACAGAAAACAAATTTAATGTAATTAGAACTTCTCACCCACACCAGTCTATAGAATAATTCTCAAAGTTTTGTTTAAAATTACTCAGATTATTACCCCGCAACAGAGAAGTTGATATATTCTGCAGATAGCAAAGAAGGAATCTGTAACATCTGTGTAATGTGGATTTTGCACACAATTTCGCACGGAGTCGCCCAGCCAAATGTCCATTTACACCTGGTACAAGAAATTTTAATCACAACTGCCATAGTTTCCTTCACTAGGTACAGTCTGTACAAAGTTGGGATGAGTTGGATTATTGTCTAAGCATCTGTTGCTTGAGTTGCGGAGCACATATTGAGTCTCTGTGAGGTTTCTACGAAACTTTGAGAGTTTTTCTATCAACTGGTATAAATGTGAAATTCTAATTGCACTGCATGGCATGCGAGATCGATGCATAGCACACATGCTGGAGACGGGAAAGTTTTAGTCAAGAAAATTGAAGGGAAGATGACCATATCTAGGCCTGGGTGGGAAAATATTATTTAACGAGTTATGGGATGGATTCGGTTATGACGAATTCTTCTTGGGTTACCAGCCGTGTCCGGTGGTTGGAAGGTGGAAACACGATCTTTGTCGTCGTCCTCAGGGTACTCAAGTGGACTCAGTTAACTCAGGATAAGATAAAGTGGTTCTTGTGACTGCGGGGGAATTTGTTGGAATTGTAAATTATTGATGTTTGGCTTCCGTTAATGTCTCTGGCTTAAACGATATCCTACCAAATCTATATGGTAGTCTGCAGGATTGTTGAAAGTTCCAACGAAGACGGTTGAACAAGTATACAGTATTTTTTGATCAATATCTGCTGTGTCTTAAGCAAGGGCAAGGCCGTGGTCTAGGCAACACGGGGTTTTCCTCCGGGGGCTTCCCCGGTTTCTCCGTGGCATCCCAACAATTACTCCATTCACACACAGAAGAAGGCAATGGCAAACCACTTCTGGATCATCTGCCAAGATGAATTATTCTCTCTAGCGGTTAGAACGCTGGCCTTGTAATCCTGGGGTCTCGGGTTCGATTCCCGGCGGTGCCCGAATTTATAACTTGTGTTGGGCAAGGCCATGGTCTAGGCATCCCAACAATTACTCCATTCACACACAGAAGAAGGCAATGGCAAACCACTTCTGGATCATCTGCCAAGAACGTATATGAACAGGTTCCAGTCCGAAAAGGATGGAAGGATCCTGTTCATATGGACCTGTCGTCACACAGAACACTAAATAATAATAATCATTTTGAAAGTGTGAAATTCTTTCGTGCTTACTCTGTAAATTATAATATATAATTTTATAAGTCTCCTGTGAATGCATGTTTGGACATACATGCTTATTCTCTTTTGAAAGAGTCTGATTTATGGGGCCTCCTGACTTTCGGAGTTCCAAACACCATTTCCATTAATTCTAAGAAGTTTTAATGATTGTGTTGTGTTTAATATTGTTTTTCTGGACTAAATCCTTCATTTAATATACTAAAATGAAGCTACAATGTTTCAGAGCCTGTCTCTGCTCCTGTCTTCAGGAGATAAAACTTACTCTGTATATTAAACAATGGATTTGATCCAGATAAACGACAATTTTGACTGAAAAACAAGTGGGTTTATTGGTACCCTCACATACGTGATTCTAATATAATATTCTCTTTACTGATGAAATATGTAAAATTGAATTTGTGTTTCACTCTGCTGTAAATATGTACTTACTCTTCAATATATTCCGTAATTCTCGTGTTGTTGACAGGATCAGTGGGACACAATGAGACAGTGGGAAATGGTACTTCCCAATTGTGAAAGTCTGTATCAAGACCTGTGATGGTTGGATTTGTCTGAAATTTCTCCCATAATGAAACTATGATAATCAGTGTTACCACTCCACCAACTGATATGAAGCAGAACCACATGAATCTGAAAATCGACGGTACAGCTAACTGACCAGTGTTTACAGACATAAATGGGCAGTTGGTCACATGAACAAATTAATTTTCAAAATGAAGCCGCTATTTTTCAGAAGATGGCTTGTCATCCTGTCTTCAGATACAAATCCCTGTTCTGTTGCATCCGATAAAAGGATCTGTTCCAGAGGCTGAGAAGAGCCCCTTCTATCAGCTTTGAAGATGGCTGTCTTCTGGGTTGTTGTGCTGTGTAGTCTTGTAGATGTTTACCAACGTTTCAGAGGTCATACTGCCTCCGTCATTGAATTTGATGGAGACAGCAAGGACCTCTAAAAGTCGGTAAACTTTTCTACCAAGCTACACGGCGCGACAACCCAGAAGACAGCCATCTTCACACTCACAGCCGACATAACCTCAAATCCTACATATACCGGCTTTGTTTTTAGAACGTTGAATAGTGGCTTATGTCCAAAGGAATAGGAACACTATTAAATAAGTCAATTTTCTTTCTACTCTTTATACATTTATGTATTACCCAGTTGCATGCTTTTAAATTTTTAAAGTCGTGACTTACTTTTCACAGAATGGTCTGCCAGCCTCGTTAATATATCGCACGCCATGCAGTGTGCTGTTGTCAAAGTATTCCTGCGTCTGGTAAGTCCAGCTGGTCTTCAGCAGCTCATATGTCTTTTTCCTTTTCGTGGCTTTCATTTTTATAGTAATTATAAGTACAATATATCCTCTTGAGTGCTGTTGTATTAATATGCTCTGCCTATTTTTAAAAAGAGATTGTTCTTATGTCATTGTTACTGCAATTTGTATAGGAATAATAGTTAAGTTACAAGTCCTTGTCTGCTTTTTGATTCGAAAGAGCAGCATTAGTCAGTAACTCAATAAAATGCTTCTACCTTGCAAGTTTGTATAATTGCATTGGTGGTAATACTGATGTTAGTAATTTTAAACGTCTAAGTGAAGTGATTTTGTACAGTTTTGATAGTGGATATTATTATGACAAAATACAAGGACAGTTACTGGATAAGAAAAAAGCAGTGTTCAGTAAAAGTGTCTGAAATAAATTCTTGGATTTTTGTTCATCACTTTTTACACGCACTGTTCATTTGAACATGTTTCAAACCAGTGTTGCCATCATTAAATTTAATACCCTGCTTCTTCGTCATTGCACTAAGGGTCTCCTCCTAGATGTCCAGAAACAATTATAAACGTATATTAAAATTATTATAACCAATCATTCAACATAATAAACCAAGATTCTTCACTACAATCTAAAATAAAGTTGCACAACAGACCATTTAAGTAATTATTTTCGAAGTATAACACAAAATTATGTGGGGCCTCTGGTAGTAAAGTCAGCGACCTTACATGGCTTGGATAAATGTGCAGTATTATCCCTGTATTCGCCAGGACAGATTGAGGAAAATCACAAAATAGAAGCTTTGGATAAGGACACTCGGTCGCGTGTTTGAGTTTTGAACACTGGATCTCTCGAATACGATGACGGATTGATAATAATTTCTCGTTACGTTTGCAGATTTTATGGGTGATTATATTAGCGAATTATAATTGTCAGTATTCTGGATCAAGGGATTCAATCTGCTCGTTTACCCATCTTGAAGGTTGGTTTCGGTAGCGTGTAATGTTTGTCAAACTGTGGGTCGTGGAGCTGCCTCACGTGTGTCTCAAGGTTAAAGAAAATTTTTATAATACGGTCGGAAGATCAAAAACCATTCCCTATTAAACTAAAACACTCCGTGTTTGCGTGTTATAAATTAATAATTATGATTTCAAACCACGACATTTGTTGTAGGTTTGATTCGAAAGGGGAAATGTATCAAACCACAAGGGAGCTATTTGCTCCTAATCAACCTAACCTAACCTAACCTAACCCCACTTGGGTTTTCAGTGTCTTTGTCACAAGACACAAATTTCCTACAGATTATTTACAAAAAAATTAACTGTTTTGGAATAAATTACATTAGTAAAATAAACCGTATAATTTATAAATATAAAGCAGAAGGCTTACATTTGAAATTATAATGTATTCACGTGTTAGATAAGTTGATAATTTGATACATATTAATCAGTACAAAGACTATAAATTGTGTTGTGTAAACGACGTCTCCAAGATTCGCCCCACTAAACAGCAGACATCAACACTAAATCACGATCTTTAGGGTAATATTTTAATTTGATAAATGAATAAGATAGTATAATTGCGTCATATTGTGAATCAAATATTAAATTAATTATTCAGTTATGTCCGTATGTGAAAATAATATGGATATGAGCATCACCAAAAAGCTACACAACAGAAATTGTAGTTGAGTTTTAAGTTTATTGATATAATTTTACACCTGAAGATGGTTCGATGAAACCGAAACATGTTGTAAAAATGTTCCAAATGTAAATCGATTATTCGATATGGAACATAAAATGATAATTTAATTATCTTATTTGTAAATTTTAAATATAATTGTGATTAGACGGACATAACTGAATAATTAATTTGATAAATGAAGCTGTCCATCGATTTCCGATCCTTGCCCTGCAGATATTTTTCATAGCACCTACTGAGGCACAAACCCCAGACACCCTGAGATACTTGTGTTTAAACATATTATTACTCTACTCACTGTATTCCTTTATAATGAAATTAACAGCTGGTGTCTTTGGAGGTAACCAACCCGTTCCGGGCAGATAATAGATTGTTAAGCGTCTAAGAGTTTTACTTCGTACTTTTGAACTTACACTGGAAACAAATTCAAATAAGAGTTAGAAACGGATGCTTGCAGTGTACAGTTTCCACACTAATCAGTCACACTGAGGCGTTCCACATCGTCCCAGTTTGTTCGCTTCAGAAGTCCATCTATCCAACTCCACGCGGA